TGAACTTCAAAACTTTCCTAAATAGTCATTGAGATTTGCCAAAAGTTCTCAGGAGATCACTAAACTTCAAAACTTCTCTAAATAGTCACTAAACTTTGCAAGAAGTTTTCAAAAAATCACTGAACTTTGCAAATTAAAACCTCATACACCACTAGTTTAGTGATCCTCTAGGATTTTTTTTTTGCAAAGTTCAATGATTATTTAGAGAAGTTTTGAAGTTCGATGACTTTTTAGGAACTTTTGGCAAAATTCAATGACTATTGAGGAAAGCTTTGAAGTTCAGTGACCTCACGAAAACTTTTGACAAAGTTCAGTGACTATTTGGGGAATTAACTCCACCTAAACACAATCCTTTAGTATATGAAATTTAACTTGTGCACGTATGTTTCTTCTAACATGGTTGTACTTAGTTGACACATATGCCATGAATACGTATTGTTACGTCGTTATTTGGTCTAATTTTGATAACATTGTGAATACATAGACACAATGTAAACTAAGTTGATGAACTTAATATCCAATGTTTGATCAGGCCAAAGAAATGCTCCCATGGAAAACTTCCTCTTCTGATCAATATATCCAATCACTGGTAGTTCGTACTGTTTGAGCAGGTAGTCGAGTAGTCGGATTTCTTGTACCTTGGACAGGGGAGTGGCATCTGAAAAGATGATAAATTTTGATTATTTTTCTTGACCTGCTGGTGGTGGCGGCGTTTGGCTATAACCCTTCGTCGTGTATAGAGGAGAACTAGAGAAAATAGTTCCACTCAATGACTTTTATTTTTTTATTTGATAATGTGGGTAACATATGTAATTAATTGTGGATAAAGATTATTTTAAAGTTAAGTCCAAAATTAAAAGTGATCTAATAAAGAATTAAGTGATTGGGTTTATGACATCTAAATAAAATGCGGGCCGGATTATATATATAGAAATCGGATTCCTTTAGAATTGTATTTCATGGTGGACGAAATACATATGAAAATTATATATACGATTATGGTTTCTAATTCATATGCAATTTCTCTTTCTTTGTGTTATCTCAATAACAAAAGAATTATAGAGAATGCATATTAAAGAGGAAGATCCTAAATCCACATCAAGAACAGGTAATCTACATTCAAGGATCAAGAAGAAAGATTCAGTAATTCATAATCATGAATCAAGATTAAAGATCTAAAAGACAAGATTCAAATATTATAATTTAAGATTCATCATTTGAGATACAAATCAATGGATCAAGGAATGTTCCGCATCAATTATTTTTCTTGGTGATTTGACATTAAGATCCTGACAGTTATGTAAAATTTATAAATATTAGATTTCTTAAATATTCAACAAGTAGAATCAGAGCCAATCCATGTTAAACTATTGAAATTAAAGGAAGAATTTAAGGGTTGAAATTCATAATTAGGTTTTATATAAAAATAAAATTTTTCCGGATGTGAATTTCAAACCCCATACATCTAAATTTTGGGTTCAAGTTAACTTTGTTGGTATTAAAGAAGCACTACAATGTTGCGACGTCACGATTCAGAAGAGGCAACGCCTGGGCACTGGATGCTGCAACACCAATTTGTTGCAGTTATTTTTCAAGTTTAAAATAAAATAAAAGTAAAAGTAAAAGGTTAAAGATTCAATAATTAAAATTCAAATTATAGTATTAAAGTTTCTTTTAGATAACTAATTTTTAAAACTAAATTAATTGAAACAACATGTTACCAAAATAAACTCTCTTGTCTAAATTAATTTATTTGAAATATTGGGAAGGTTGTGTGTATTCATGTGGATATTCACCAGCCCAAAGGAAGGTGAATGTTTGGCCGAATTACATACGCACTCATTGTAATAAATATGTGACAATTGTAACATTTCTTTTATGCGTACAATAAATTGGTCCAAAAATAGATTCATTGTTTGACATAATTTACTGTCAATATTTGATTATTAAGGCAAGAGTACCACTTACAAGTTGGTATTTTGTCTAAAGACTAAATATCAATGTTGAGCTTAGTATCTCGTGATGGGGTTTACAATTATTTGAACTTGTTGATTAATACAGATTCTTATGTGAACATTTTTCTTTTGTTCTCCATTCAGTTAACTCTTCTGTTTCTACATACCTGCAAATATCAATTCTATTCCTGGACTAAATGGAACCAACTTTAAGGCCCGGAAAGAGAATGTCCAGATCGTTCTTGGCTGCATGGAGTTAGACCTTTCATTAAGGATTGAATGACCTGCTGCACTTATGTATAAAAGTCTCGCTAATGAAAAGAGGACTTTGACAAGTGGGATCGTTCAAACCACATGAGTCTTAAGATCATGAAGCATAATATTCCAGAATCATATAGGGGGCTATGTTCGATGAGGTAACTACTGCTAAGCAACTTCTTGATGAAATTGAAAAATGCTTTGCAAAAAACGATAAGGCCAAAACTAATACGCTTTTGATGAACTTCACTGAGGTATAAAAGGTAAAGGGAATATTCGAGAGTACATTATGGAGATGTGTCATTTTGCTTCAAAATTGAAGACACTAAAGTTTGAGCTATCTGATGATTTGCTTGTGTATTTGGTTTTGATTTCTTTTTTTGCACAATTCAATCAATTTAAGGTCAGTTACAATTGTCAAAAGGAGAAGTGGATTCTAAATGAGCTCATTTCGCACTGTGTGCAAGAAAAAGAAAGATTAAAGCAAGATAGAACAGAAAGTGCTCACTTGACTAGTACCTCTAAGGACAAGTTCAATAAAAGAAAGAATAATGATGCTACACCTGGTCCAACTCAAAAGAAAGAGTAAAAGCTTGAAAATGATGAATCATCTGGCTGTTACTCTTGTGCCCGAGACAATTGAAAAGGGATTTTATCAAATACCATCCTTTGCGTGTAAAGAAAGGTACGTTTCTTACTTTGATTTGTTTAGAGGTTAATTTAGTTTCAGTATCTAGACATACTTGGTGGATTGATTTCGGCTCCACTACTCATATAAGTGTGTCTATGCAGGATTGCCTGAACAGTTGAAAGTCAAATGGTGTTGAAAGATTCATCTATGTAGGCAACGACAAATCAGTTGAAGTTGAGGCTATAAGGTCTTTTAGATTATTATTGAAGATTGATTTTTATTTGAATTTAAAAGAGACTTTCATGGTACCGTCTTTTTGATAGAATTTTGCTTCTATTTCTATATTGGACAAATTTGGTTATATTTGTTTATTTGGAAATAATAAATTTAGTCTTATTCTTGATTCAAATCTTGTGGGTACCAGTTGTTTATCTGGATATGATAATCTATACTTGCTTAATTCTGTTGCCTCTTATAATGAAACATTGCATGTAAATTCACGAGGTATTAAATGTCAATTAACTAATGAGAATTTTGTTTCATTATGGCACAAGCGTTTATGTCAAATTTCTCGAAAGAGAATTGAAAAGCTTGTATCAAAAAGAATTCTTGCCCCTTGATATTTTAGATTTAAGTGTTTGCATAAATTGTATTAAGGGAAAATAAACAAATATAGAGAGATTAGTGTCAATAGAACTTTGAACGTCTTAGAACTAGTTCATATGGATATTTGTGGATCGTTCTCTTCGACTTTGTAAAATGGTCAACAATAATTTATTACGTTTATAGGCGATTATTCTGTTATAGCTACTTATATTTCATTCATTAGAAATTTCTATCACTGGACATGTTCAAGACTTATAAGACTGAAGTTGAAAACCAACTCGGCAAAAGAATAAAACATGTTAGATCTGATCATGTGGTGAATACTATGACAAATATGACGGATCAGGAGAATAACATCCAAGGTCTTTTGTTAAATTCCTAAAGGAATGTGGAATCGTTCCACAGTACATCATGCCAGGTTCTCTTACGTGAAAGGTGTTGCTGAAAGATGAAATAGAACACTTAAGGATATGGTAAAGAATATGATTAGTCATTCCACCATGCCAGAATCTTTTTGGGAAGAAGCATTAAAGACTGTAGCTTATATTCGGAATAGAGTTCCAAGTAAAGCAATTGTCAAAATCCCTTACGAACTTTGGACAGGCAAGAAGCCTAGTATGAAATATTTGCACATTTGGCGTTGTCTAGCTGAGGCAAGGCCTTACA